TTAATATTAACTAATATATATATATATATATATATACATATATATATAAAATATAAAAAAATTTTTTAAATATATATTATACAAAATATTAAATATTATTGTTCTTTCTTCTCTCTGTCTCTCTTTTTCGTTTTCTCTTTCACTTTTTACAAATTTTCTAAGATCTTAATAATATTTCCATAATTTTTTAAATAATATCTTAATTTCAATCATTTTTTAAGCCAATTACAAGTAATTCTTTCATCGTTGGTGTGCACATCCAAATTAATGTGTTTTTCCAACCGTGACAAAAAGAAAACCGTTCGTGTACACGGAGACCTAAAGTTTCATTTCCTCTCTACTTCTCATAAAATTTACGAGTCAAATAGATAATTTATAATCGATATTATAATATAATCTTGTTACTCCGTGTTCGTAATTTCGAAGTTCGTTGTACTTGATTGTACTTGATTGACTGGACGACAGAGCGTCTCGAATGAGCCTTACTTTTATCAATTTTCTCTCTTCTATCGCGAAAATGAGCTCTTTTAGATTTACAAAACACAAACACGTTTGATTCCAGAAATAAATTTCTTTCGGTCTAAAAGCGTTCCTTGCGTAAAAATAGCGACGGATATTTCTACTTCGAGTTTCAACATCGATATCGAATCACAATACCTCTCGATATAAAAGAACTTTAAGGTCGTCCAGTCGTATTGAAAATGTTAACGAAATATTAAATAGTATATAGATTCGAATTACGGTTATTCTACGGAATTTCTTAACTATTCTAGAAATTACTCATCGAAAGAGATTCTGTCCATTCGCCTGTTAGTTCTTCCATCGAACGTGTGTCTTCAAACATTTCCGAGAGAAACAGTTTCGGTCGCCGATAAGTTTTTTTCAGTCCGTAACGAAGATGGATTTTATTTTCTATGAAAATATAAAGATACTGAACTTTACGGAAGTTTTATGTATACACATCGATACACTTTTCAATACACGATTCGCGCAATTTATGCGGCGCAAAGACACATCGTGTGCTCATATATAAATTTCTAAGTCTCGTGAGATAGGCTTGGGCGGACCAACCAATGACTAGTTTATTTTATTAAAATAGACGATATTGCTGTATTATCTGTAATTTTTAATAATCTATCGAACAAAATAACTCGAGCTACCGAACTGTTCTCGAGGCACTCTCCGAGAACAGCGGAACGATAATAAAATCGACTCCAAACAGGTAGAAAAATTTTCACATATGAAACTTGATCGACGTGGGGATGAAAGGTCCCGCGTAACATTGTGACCTTCCAACAAATTCCCGACATATCTCTATGTATTTTTAATAATAATAAGCGTATTGTTCAATTCACATTTGTGATGTTTTGACATATGAGATATATATATATATATATATATATATATATATATATATATATATTCTTCTTC